GGATGGGTGGTTGAGAGGACTGACCTGCTCATGTGTGTAAAGCACTTTCAAGTCAGCTGCTGGAAGATGCTTTAGAAGAGCTCAGTGCTTTTCCTACAAGAAAAGGAACCTTGCTATTCTGGTTTCTCTCTCTAAGGTGCAACAGATTCTGGCAAAGAAATGGTGCCATTTCGATCCCTCAGGTCTTTGGTAAAACAGCGATTATCTCAAACTGCCTTTGACTGGACCCTCAACTTGCTAAATTGGCCCTGGCCCAAGGGCTTCAGTTGAAGTATATCCACGTACATCAGCCAGGGAGATGGAGTGGGTGGTGTGTGGTGGGGGGTGTTTCATAAGAGGCATGTACAAACATTGTGACCCATATGTCAATTTGCACTTCAGATTTCACCTAGAGTTCAACACACTCCCAACACTCAAAAAAGGCAGCTGTGGGGGCTGACATCAATGGGCCTGGACTACCTAGAAAGCCTCTGACTCAGATTTCCAAGTCTCACAATCCTTTACAAGAAACAGGACCCAAATTGGGAGGGTGCCACCTAACATCATTGTCTCTCATACCCTGTTTTTATTTACATCAGGAGCATTGCACAGGCTTTTGTTCCATCTGCTATTCAACTCAAATGGCATCGGATTTTTTCTCAGAGACCTGAGGAAGGACACTCAGTACTTGAAAGCTTGTCTATATCCCTCTTAACTATAGAGGTGGTTCAACAGAGGCTATTACCTGCAAAGACCCTTGCCTCTTGCATTTTTCCTAAACAATCACAGCAACAATATCACCCTAATACTACTATAAAGCATTAAGTCAGGCAAGTTTTACCTCTTATTGATACCTCTCATACTATTTGGGTCAGATTTCCAGTGAGGCCTGGCTGCCAAGTGCTTATGGCCTGACTTTCAACAAGACTTGAGCTCTTGTGAATACTCTGTGCAGAAAGCCAAAGAAATAAAGCTCCCATTTGCATTACAGCAGTCTACAGGCTTCAAAGCACCCTACAGGACATGCAGAAGAGCTCTGGAAGATCAAAGGCATGGAGAGAAAAACCATTTCCCCAGATGGTAACTGCAGCAACACAGAGGTTATGTGATGTACCCAGGATCACAGAGCAAGTCAGTGGCAGGGACAGGAATCACCAAGAGCCCCAGTCCAGTGTTATACCCATTCCCTCCTCTCCCCTCACCTCACACATACTTTGAATCTCACCGCTCAAGGATTAAGAGGAAACACCTCACTCTCTACCATGTAAACCCCTGCAGGGTTATACCCCCTTAATAAAGTGATCTTCTTGATTAACATGCATAAGGAAAGGACCAAAGTTGCAGAGATCAAAACCACAGGGCACTTGAGAGGCTACAAGTCAGGAGGTTTGTTTCATGCTTCTTTCTAAATTTAAACTGTTTTTCTTAGCGAGGTTCAGTTTTCACACTGCTCATGTCTGTCCCCAAGCAAAGAAGTCTGACTACAAGGCTACATTAACTCAGAGTGAGTTCTCCTCTCTGCTCAGAAAGCACAGGCTTTCCTTTTACACACAGGTTTTATTGCACTGGGACATCAATCTCCTCTACCTAGAAAGGAGGTTTTATTCCACTGCCAGCAGCGGTATTTACAAATACAACTTCCAAGAGACACAAATGTCTTTCAACGTGGTGCTGAGCAAATAATCAGGTATGTAGCAACTGGCCCTGCACAAACCCTTCAGAGTTATTTTGCTTTGAACACAAGTAACCATGAAAAAACAAGACATCCGGCTCATTAAAGTACCATCATTTGGGGCAATGGATCATTATACAAGACAAGCCCCTGACACATGTGCTCTCCCTGTAAGCTGCATTTCTTTAGCCAAAGAGGACAGCAGAAACAGAAAGCGCCAACATGCCTGCAGCCTTAAAACCTCTGTTCCTTTCGATTCATTCCATTCATAAAACCCACTCCAGGCCCTGGGAAACAGGAACTTTAAAAACAGAAGCAGGGGAAGGCAGAAAGAAGGATGGAGTGTTTTGCATCCCATGCCTATTGTGCCAGTTTTATGAATGAAATGATTTATCCAACCTATACTGATCTGTTGAAATGCAAATAAACATCCTTGCCTAAAAGGTAACATTCAGGAGCAATAACCTACCACTGTCAAGGGTGCCTGTGGTAATGGTTGTGGTGTGGGGGAAAACAGTAATTACACAGATAACACCCATCAGCCCTTCAAGCAGCGGCCAGCATCCTCACTGCTGAGCCACAAGTATTGGCTACCAGTAGGTTCCAGCAGGAGATTAGCCCCCTGTTGCTACTCGCCTTTGTTCTTTGGTGGCAGTAGTATCAGGAGGTCAGGATTACAGTGAAGGTCCAATCACTGTCCAAGACCTGCAAGAACTGGCAATTTTGGAAAGGGGGAAAAAAAATCCTTGAACCTTTTACAGACTCAACAGAAGTGAACTTTCTAAAAACACTTCTTTCATTCAAGAGGAAATGTTGATTTAAAACCAAACAACTTTCCCCTGTGTCAGAACTGTGTCAGTACAAACAAAAGACAAGTTGACTAGCAAATGACTATGTGTCTCATCAAGCAATTGGGCTGTTCAGTTGGCTCATATTAGGACAGCTGCAAAAAAAATCAGATGGGCTTGTTAAGATCCTAACTGTTTTAATAAGAAAAGGCAATGGTAGCAGGCAGGTAAAGCAGATGGTCCTACAGTCTTCCACCTGTTCCACATGCCTTGTTAGTGATTTTTGGAGTCAGCTGCCAATCACAGAAGTGCTTCTGAACGTGGAAGGTCTCTTTTGAAGCCATTTCTCTCAACTCCACATGCCTTTATTATGCATGAAAATCAACTGATCAAGGGTACAAGCTAATGGGAAGGCCACTTGCCTCATATAGCACTGTAACTGTGCCAATGCTGAGCATCCAATAGCTATGAAACACTTTGTTAGAAAGGACCGGGCCTGGGGCAGTACTAGACAGATACAGCTAAGCATGGACAGTACTGCTGACAAGCTCCATCTGTGCTTTTATCTCTGGGCCATTATGTACCCCACACAGTTTCACAGCTTCTCCTATCCCTTTATGGAATTCAGGCTAACCAATACATTGAACAGAGCTCCCTTCCCTCCTCCCCACTCACCCCCCACCAAAAAAAAAGAAAAGAAAAGAAAAAAAGAGGCACTGGCACCTCACTTAAGACTCCCCATTGATTAGAATACAAAGACCCCACAAGAGCTGGAAGGTCTCTCTGAAACAGAAAAGCAATCCATCTCACAACATGAGAACCTTAAAAAGCCCCAAACAAGCAGGAAATAAGAAATGCAGAAGGTCCCAACAGGACAAACTTGAGTCCAGGATTATGAATAGCAATTCAATCCTATAATACCTATATCAAGTTATTTACCCTGTTTCTACATACCCCAAGCAGCATCCCATTGCACTGGGACCTGCACACACACATGCAACATAAGATGGCTTCGGCAAAAACATTGCTGAATGGAAAGTCTGCCTTTAACTTCAGTGGATACAGTGTCACTAGGGTATGACAACAAGCGAATACTATAAACATAAATGGTTGTAGACTCAATGAACCTGTGTAAATGCTAAATTCTTTCCTTCCTTCTGCTCCCCACATCTGGCCACAACTTAAACGCACACCAGAGAAACGGCTGGAGCTTTTTTTCATTCATACTTAGAATCTGGCAAACACAGGGTCGTTTTGGGGGAGCTTGACTGGCCATCACTATAAAGGTCAAAGTGCATTGATTAATTCTTCTAGTGGGTGATTCAGCCTCAGTGGAAAGAAGGCAGGCACTTCTTTAACCCACCAGCCTCAAATGCTTCTTTCCAACTTCACTAGAAGAAAGAGAGCAAAGATGACTTCAGCCATGTTGAACCTGGCCAGGCCAGTATAAATTAAAAAGAACTGGAGTCACACCAGCAAGGAAATAGTGCAAGCCAGAAGAGAAGAAAGCCTTAGTGTCTTGGGCACAGGAGATGGGGAGCAGGTAACACGTGTGCTTTCACAGGGCAGGTCCGTCTTCTAATTTTAGCTCCCATGCCTCTCAGGGGAAAGAATCCCAAACAGACAAAGGAATGGAGAAGTAGCTGGGAATTTGGAAAGTCTGCTCTTGAGCAACAGTATCTCACGCAGGGCCTGGTCTCTGGCTGACCCATGCTGCGCGTATTTGCGTGATAAGGTAGATCTTGCAAAACTATCAACCTTCCATCAACTGCCATTCTGTATGACTATGCCTCGTGCATGGCATTCTAGTCATGTATCTGCTATCCCCATGTGCTGTGCAATCATAGCCTGAGATCTAACTGCAAGACTGCATCAGGCGTTCCACTGGAACGCTGAAGAAATTCAGACACAGATAAGGGCTTTACAGGCCAGACCCCCCCAGAGCCACGATGACACGTGCCCATGGAACAGCAAAAGCCTCTGCTGATCTAAGATACCAGCTCCCAAGTGCTTTGCATTGTAGGTCAACAAATCCAATACAGGACTGAGCCACAGGCTACTAATGGTTGAGCTACAGAAAGTCTCTATTAGCAGTATGAGGGCTATGACAGGTGGGTGACCAGATCTGAAGGGCCAACAATAGTATGGTTTGATGGTGGCCACAGCTAACACTGTCTTGATCTTCAAGACTAGGAGTTGTGTATGTGCAGAAGGTGCAACGTAGGGTGTGCTTATAAGCCAGGGTGCAAGAATATCCTACTTCTGTCTGCTTTATGCAAGTTAACCCAGCTGAAAGTTAAACCCTTCTTGGGCTGGGTAAGAAACAGGCCATCTAATGCAAACTGTCCATTATTTTTCTCCCAGTGGCTTTAAATTCAATACCATAGAAAGAGAAGGGGAAGTAATTTCTTCTTCATTCACTTCCTTTAAATCAGCTCTGAACCAACAACCAACCAAGAAGACTTCATTCAGAACTGCTGGCACTGGGCCACAGATGCAGAAGACAGCCACTTGGGTTGTGTGTGAGGTCTAATGTCAGTACACAAAGTCAGTAAACTTACCATTCAAGGCAGATGTCGTGTTCTCCAGGGCATGACACACAGGTAATAAAAAACCTTTGGGAAAATTAAAAAAAAAGTCAGACAAGCAATAGCAATAAGCAAAGAGCAGATTTAAATCACCCAAATAATCACACGCACACAAAAAGACCTTTCCATTTTCAACTGAAATCATTGCTAGAAGCAAGAGACCCCTCAGGCTTAAAAGGAGTCAACAGCTTTTGGGATACATTCATAAACTGTAGAGGAAGACTGTTCATGCAGTCTGTGTCTTTAGAAAAATATAGTGTAACACATATGAGGTCTATCAGCTGAAACATAACTGTCTGTCAGGGCAACAGAGCCTACAATAGGGGTGGCGATGTTACTTTCAGTGTGCTGGATCTCAAAGCATTTTATATCAGCATAAAGCCTTAGTAGCCTTACCAGGTACCATATCCAGTTAGACTAGAGCTTGCGAAGAGGAAACAAAGACATTTCAACTAGGAGCCACCATAGTGGAACAGCCAATTAAGTTGCAAAACTGACAAAGAGAACCCAGGGATCCTAGTTCCCAACCCATCCCATGCTCCAATCACTAGTTATCCACATACGCAGAACTCTGTGCACCTTAAGCTTTCTTATCCGAAAAGTCTCCATCTGAAATTAAATAGCTGTTCTTTACTGGAAAGCCCACTTATCTAACCAAATTCCTCATTGTTTCCACTTGTAACTCATGGATGTTCATAAGAACGAACAAGATGTGGAGAACGTAAGGTTGTGATGAACAAAATGCTGTGCACCAAAAAATGCAAAGTGGTGGTAACAATGTAAGCCCTGTCCGTCCTATTCACAAGTCTCTGCTGTAACACGCATCCAACCAGAGAGAAAGAGTCTAATTAGTTTTTGTACAAAGTTAAAGCAAAAGAGCCCTATATGAGCTATATGTATTTTCTGAAGGTAATTTTTTCCCATGCTTTAAGTCAGGAGAAGACAGACTAGCAAGAGCAAAACTGCAGAGTGCATTCGGAAAGCTTTCTGGAACTGCAGAAAGAGTGAGTTTCAGATCAAACCACCCCAAAATCTGGAGCAAAAAGTGCTGTTCATCTGGGGTCCAAGCCACCAAGATCACAGCCAGAAGTTAATCAGAGCCTCTTGGCCAAGTTAAAGGTTTATAACCAAGTCACAGATGAGGCACATGGGCTCAGCTGGGCCTCTCTTCATGATCATTTTGATTTACTGAGCTGCATTCTCCAGAGCAGAAGCTGAGGTGCTGAGAACAAGTACAGGTGCAAAGTAACTGCACACTCAGATTTGACACTTGTGTATAAGAATATGGGTTTTGGAGTGCTGTTATTTGCCCATAAGTTGATCCCTACTTGATCACAGCACACAGGACAAACTAGGTTCCTGGTGTTGGCTTTGGGAAATGCCCAGGGTGAGCCAAATTTGCTCGTAGTGCAACTCGCTCAACTTAGAGTATTACTTGCGTACAGCCTGACTGCTTGCATACAGCCTGACACCTCCAGAAATCACCACCAGATATTCTTGCAGCCAAGCTGCAACACATAAATATGCCAACAGCAGATCCAGGCTTAAGAGAGGAATGCTTTCCACATGCCTCCAGTTGCCCCTTCTCTGAATGCCCTGCCCAAGATGAAACAAGCTGGCCTATAGTTTCTTTTTCCCAAAAGAGCCCCTGCCTCAGCTCCTGTAACCAAATATAGACAGGCAAAAATCATTAGCTATATCAGGAGTCTGAACTTACTCCATTTGCCATCCCACCCTGGTTCATACAGAGGTTTCTCTTTGCGGTATTTGTCAGGCTGCTGAATATGATGCACACATCTGGAAATGCTTTATATTGAGCTAACTTCCAGCCATTTCTTGGAACACAGTACTCTTGACAGCTCTTTAATTAGACTATTCTGTGGGTTTTTAGTCCCCGGTGATTATAGAGAGATAGGAATTGCCAAGTCAGGTCAGACTGAAGATCCATCTAGTCCAGTACCTTATCTCTCATCTTATGATCAGCAACTGGTCTATGTGGAGGGGGAAAAGATGGGGGCGATACAAACTCAGTCTTAGTCCAATTCAGGACACCACATAAACCCTTGCTTAAAGCACCATTGAAGTCAATGAGATCAAAGCCTGCACTTACTACTATGATGCCTGTGCTTTCCTGGATCTTGCCTAGTGCCCTCCCTTTTGTGGCAGCACCATGGTGAGAAGTCACCCAGGCAGAAGGTGCGAGTGTGGAACTGTGAAAGAGGAAATAGCAAATAGAGCATGCGAACAAAACTGTGAGGATTTCAAAGGGCAGCTCTGCCAGGGGATCCTCCGCCTTGAACCACAGGCTCATTCTCCTGGTTTTACTGAAGAGACTACCTGAATCGTCTTCCCACCAGTTATGTTTTCCTTCTCTCAGCAGCCAAATGGTTTGTCATCTGCATGCCTCCCAGGTTCCCTCGCCCTGCTGGAGGTCACCGATTCACAGTAGCCAAGACTGGCAGCTAAATAAATATGGTTTTAGGTGACCTAAGATCAATGCGACAACTCAGCACCTGGCCCTGGTAGGGGTTTAACACGGGGCACGTGTAATGAGGTAGCTGGAATGCAAGCTGCCATGGCATCGGCAATCTTGCCTATGCAGGGCTCAAGAGAGTGTTACCTGGTGGGTACACCTAGCAAAGCTGGAAGAGGAAGCTCTAGGGCTATGATTGTCAGAGAAGCTCAGCCAACTATTCAGTTGACTGAAATCCAGGCACCTAACTCCCCTCAGCTCCTTTGAAAATCTGCATCTTTCCATGGGCAAAGGCCTGGGAAGGTTTCATCATGAGGGTACACGGCAAATCCTTATCCCACTGAGACTGAACCCAGAATCCACACCAAAGAGCCTCCTGGAGACAAGGAAGCAACTGCAATAATGAGAGGGATTGGGCTGGGTTTCTGCCTCTAAAGGTAACATTCTTCACCAATAACCTGCAGGGAGGGGATGGCACATATGGCTACTGGAGCCCACCCCCTGCCATATACTGAGTCCATGAGAATATGCATCACAACCCACCACTGAACTAGAACAGACCAGCTTCCTAAGAGTTGACTTCTTAGGGAAGGGGGAAACCTGCGCAATTACGAAGACTTGGCTGGCACCGGTCATCCAAAACTCCATGGGGCTCAGGCCAGAAGGAACCAAAGATCACTTAACTCAATTGGTATGATGTGCAGGGAGTTTCAACCTGGTTCTCCCTGTACTGAGTGCAGATGAGTCTGCACATGAGATTCTGGCTAAAGAATCACACACCCCCTCCTTCTGTGGGCTCCCAAGGAGAGGACACTCATCACAGGACAAGCAGAGAGAGACCGTGAACAAACCAAGTAGTACTGACAACTGAACCAGCCCTATATCAATAAGCAATTAACTAATTAACTGCCACAATACATTCTGGAGCCCTGTGCTTTTCCTCTGGGAAACTTGCTATCGACTGTCCTGCACGCGGAAGGATTTCTTGTGGGTCCTTTGCTTTCTTTCCAAAATGGAACAGCACTGATAGACAACTGCCATGTTCTGCCCCAAAAGTGACTGTATTTTGGTGGTGCTGTATGGGAAGAATCTGCTAAGGGCTGCAGACACCTTTGAGGCTTACATCTAATAAAAATTAGTAACAACTTCATCTCTCCCATCCATGGGCCTCAAGCAACAGGAAAAAACCTCCA